ATTTTGAACTCAGACTTCTAGCTTCCAAACAGTAAGAGAATGAATTCCTGTTTTTTAAAGTTACTGGACTGTGGTATTTCTGTCAGAGAGGCATGAAGCAATCAAAATAAGTAGTAACTGTTAATAAATGTAAAACAGTAGTATATGTTAAATTAAAAGTGAATATATAAAGAAAAGGAAAAGTTAAGTGCAAGTTAAAGCATGAACTGCAGCCAACAATGATGCTATATATGTGTGCATGTTAGTAGATATGTACTATGTGAAGACCAAATGTGTCTATAAGAATTGTAGCAGACAATAAGAAAAGAGAATTTGCATTTGCTACATTCTTTTGCTTTTCCATAATAAGCTGTATAAATAATAACAATTGGTAAGTAGACATGTTATATTCTGAAGCCAAAGAGGAAAAGCCTCATTTATATTTCCTCAATTAATTCAGAATACTCAGTTGTTCAAATAAAATTTAGAAGTGATAATTACTTTTACACAATCTGGCACTTGACTACTAACCAGAAGGCTGGCGGTTCAAACCCACCAGCCACTCCTTGGAAGGAAGGTTGGGCAATCCTACTTCCGTAGTGATACTGCCTCGGAAACCCAAGGAGGGGTCGCTATGAGTCGGGGCCGACTCGACTGCAAATAACAACACAACAACAGGGAGAAATAATTTGCTAAGATATCAATAGAATAAAAATGTTTGGGAAGACTATTTAATACATATAATGATCATGCTTAATACCTGAATGTATCCAGTGTTGACTTCTATAGTCTCGCATCCCTTTCTCTCCAAATTAGGAAGTAGCACTGTCCTCGAGATCTCAGAAGATTCTGGGCAGGAAGCAGAAGTATCTTCATTTATTTACTCATTTAATTTATTCAACACTTACTTCCAGGGTAAGGACAGGCAGAGTGCTTACAGTCTCAGTTTCACTTCTTCCAATCTCCTGCTCCTGCTGGATTCTTTTCCATCATATTTTTTCTCTTTTTGAGGCTACTGTTCTATTTTAGTCTTTATTTCATACTGGAGAATACCTGTCCACTTTACCCTGTCTTTCCACTAACAAACGATTGCTAAGACAACCAGATTATCTTACTGAAAATGGGGGATAATTAAGGCTCACTTATTGTTATACATACATTAATAGTATAATAGTTTAATAGTAGTTCTAATTGCTCAATGAATTGAATTAATCTAAACCATCCATTGTTTGTCTTTAAATGACTACTTCTAAAAAATTCTTTCCAGTTATGCTATGTTGTTGTTGTTGTTATGTGCCATTGAGTCAGCCCCAACTCATAGTGACCCCTCCTTGGGTTTCTGAGGCGATATCACTATGGAAGTAGATTTCCTAACCTTCCTTCCGAGGAGTGGTTGGTGGGTTTGAACCACCAGCCTTCTGGTTAGCAGTCAAATGCCTTAGGCACTATGCTACCAGAGCTCCTCCAGTTATGCTATATATACACAAATACAGGCACAGGTTAAGGTATAGATGAAAGAAGCCCTGGTGCTTCAACAGTTATTTATTTGACTGCTAACCAAAAGCTTGGCAGCTTGAACCTACTCAGCAGCTCCTTGGAGAAGAGGCCTGGAAACCTGCTTCCATAAAGGTTGCAGTCTAGACATCCCTATGGGGCAGTTCTAATCTGTCACAGATGGTCATTATGGGTCAAAATCATCTCAAGGACACCTAAGAACAACAATAGGGATAGAGATGAAGCAGAGAAATTCATACCCGCTGGTTGCTACTTAAATTGTATAGTCAGGAATCAACTACCTAATCAAACCTAAAACCAAGCTCACTGCCATCCAGTCAGATCCAACTCACAGAGACACTTCTTTGGGTTTCCAAGCTAGTATCACTATGGAAGTAGATCGGCCCATCTTCCTTCTGAGGAGTGGCGGGTAGAATCAACTTCCTAGAAGGGAGAAAAAGCAAGTGAACATTTCTCATTAAAAAATATTGCTTTCCCTCGCCTTGTTTTCCCCTGAATACTCTATCCACTATACACTAGTGTGTACCTCAAATATGAAAGCAAAACTGAATGTCCATATAAGACACTGAAAGAAATAATTTGATGAAGCAAAATTATTGGAAAAAACTGTATATTTAACTGCAATTAAGAAAATGTACAATCTTAAGTCATGTTTAAAATAAAACAGAACTTGTAACTATCTTTATAACACTGATAGTGAGACAGCAATTAGGAGCCACTGCCAATGAATAGATATTTTAGGAATGAAGGCAGACTTTTGCTTGTAGGCAAGACAGAGTAACAGGAACTAGATGTCCCCATGTAAAAAATATTTTTTAAAAAAATCCTTTGATCAAATGTACAGTGTCAAATTAAACCCAGGTTTATTCTGCTTTCAGAAAAATTAGATCAGACTTTTCACAGATGCCTGTACTTGGGCTCTTTATCTGGTTAAACAATCATAAATAACTAAGGAATGTTTTCTCTGTGGTCAAGCCAGGATGTGGAAGGAATACATCCCAAGGAAGGGGGTTTTGACAGAGATACATTCATGTAATGTGACCTTAAGAAATATTTCTTTCATGATAAGGATATGCAGACAAAGTCTCAAGAAGAAACCTTGGGTACCTAAATTCTTATCTCAGTTTCCCAGGTAACCAAGAAAGTTTCACATGAGCAAGCAATTTCCCAAGAAAGAGCTTTGTGTAAACTCTTATTACCAGCTCCAGCCCCAAAGAAATACCCAACCTAGATATTTTTATAACCTGTTCTGGAAAGTATGCATTATAAGCAGCCTGTGACTATGACTGCAAATCTCTGTAGCCCACCTAAGCACATCTAAGCATTTGTGTCCTTTGGAAGCCTTCTCCCACTTCTTTCACCCTCCTCTTTGTGACCTCAATCAAAAACTAACCAAACAGTGATTTTATTGTAATTATTTTGTTTCCGGACTTACATTCATCCCTGCTCAGGACCCACTTTGTGAAACACATGCTTTCATTTATGTGAGCTGGTGACTTCCCATTTGGGTGCCTCTCCAATGATGATTTAATCCTCTGAATCTTCATTTAAAGTAGTTTTCTTCCTTTACATTACCTCATTCCTGAAGCAGTCAATATGCTTGCCCATACACATGAATCAGTGTCTTGTAAGAAATGGAATATTAGGCAACAAAGGACAATGAACCTCAAGAAACAGGAAGCAAAACAATTTGAATCTTATGACATCCTAATTTACTGCCTTGAGAAAATTCTCAGGCCTCAAGTCAGGAAGTACAAACCCAGGCAAAGTTTGGGGGCTCTTTGAATTAAGAAGATGGAGCTGGTTGCCCAGGGAGACAAAAGTGGATAGAGTTCATAGTACAGAGCACCAATGTACAGAGAGAAAATTGTGAGGTCTGCAAAAAATACTCAGGAAGACTTTAGCTGAGTAATGTTGTGGATATGGATATAAGGAAACTACTCCAGATAAAGGAAAGACCATTGGAAAAACTGTAAGGAATAATGTCAGGTGCACATACAGGGATGGACAAAGTGCCTATTTCCCTTAGCCAGATTAGAAAATCTCATTATTCAGTTATTGGAAGGAGTATTCAGAAGACTTTTCTGTCAGTAATGGGAATAACTAGCCCTACACTAAGCACTAGACCTAAATTTATCTGCTACTGAATAATTTAACTTTGTCTTAGAACAAAACTGAAGAATATTTATACAAATATAAACATATATAGTACCCAATAAAATAAAATTCATAATGCCTGACATCAAATAAAAAATAAACATGTTAAAAACAAGAACATAATCCATAATGAAAAGAAAAATCAATCAATTAAAAACAGACTAGGACTGATACAGATGTTAGAATTAGTAGATAAATATATTAAGAGTCATTATAATTGTATTCGATATGCTCAAAAAGTGGAGACATAAAAATACTTTTATTAATTCTAAATTGAATTTTTGGAGATAAAAATCTACAATGTTTGAGATAAAAATAAAATGGCTGAAATGAACAGCAAATTTAATATCGCAGAAGAAAAGATGTTGTTGTTGTTGTTGTTGTTGTGTGCCATCGAGTCGGCCCCAACTCATAGCGACCCCTTCTTGGGTTTCCGAGGCAGTATCACTACAAAAGTAGGATTGCCCAACCTTCCTTCCGAGAAGTGTCTGGTGGGTTTGAACCGCCAGCCTTCTGGTTAGCAGTCAAGTGCTTTAGCCACTATGCTACCAGAGCTCCCAGAAGAAAAGATAAGTGCATTAAAGACACCAATAGATACTATTCAAAACCGATGTTAAAAAAAAAAAAAATGCTCAGAGCATCAGTGACCTACAGACAACTTCATGTCACCTGATAGAGATGTAATTGGAGTTTCAGAAGGAGAGAAGGAGCAGAAAAATATTTAAGAAATAATGACCAAACATTCTCCGTATTTAATGAAAACTATAAATCCATAAATCCAAGAAACTCAATGAACCCAAAGGGAGAAAGGAAAGCAAAAGGAAAAACAAAACAAAACTCCAACAAGGTGAATCATAATTTTATTGCTTAAAAAGAAGAAAGATAAAATCATAGAAGGATCCAGTGGGAAAAAACAATATGCATTCTATTCTCATGAACAAAGATTAGGATGACAGCAGATTTCCTATAAGTAAAAACAGGTTACAGCAGAAGTGCTGATGTTAAGTAATGAGATTATTTTGTCTGAAGTTCAAACTTTTTCTTAGCATATTATTGTGAAATATGTCTTTAAATTAAGATTTGTTGTTCTATTTATTTCTAAATGTTCCACTGATGACCTTTGTTCTGTTTGTCAGAGAGCTGGTTGCTGCCCTTGTAATCTAAGGCTTTAAGTCTACAAAACCACCCTTTAGATTTAGATCTCTGTGTGCACAGTGTATTAAAGACCAATTTTTCTTGAGGTGAAGTCATGATGTATTAGAAATAACATTAGTTACACAGATTTTGATTTTTTTTTCTCTTTATTTCTCCATGTTCTGAATATCAGAAATATTCTTTTAAACATTTGTACAATCTAGTATGATAAAATGATTTCCCAAAACGATTTTTTGCGAAAAAATCTGAAGATGGTTCATGGCTATCCTATGATCTATGCTTTTACAAACAACTGGGAAAATATTGAGCAATTCCAAAGCAGACCAGATGACATCGTGATAGTCACTTACCCCAAATCAGGTGAGTTTACTGACCTGACAAATGCAGGTCTGACTTCCTTCTCTGTTTCCTGGTGACGTACCCCTCTTTCACAATTATCCCAAGCTAAGTTAATATTCTGCAGTCATCTACTTCTCATGTATTGAAATTGGTATTTGTGACAAAGAAAAAGAGGCTCTATAGAATTAAGTTTTAATTAGAATGTACTATGATGGTGTGCTTCCAATTGATACTATTTTCCTCTACATTTGGATGATGGTTATAAAAAGGCTTCATTTGCCACAGGTACTACATGGATTAGTGAAATTGTGGATATGATTCTAAATGATGGAGATGTTGAAAAATGTAAGCGAGATTTTATTACTGCTAAAGTTCCAATGTTGGAAATGTCTCTCCCTGGACTAAGAATCTCAGGTAACTTTTAAGTCAATCTACTCATTTTAATGACGACATTTACATAATATATTCATTTTTTGTACTTGTGATTCACAATGAAAGACAACAAAGAAGATTTGATAGTAGAAAATGAAAGTTTGTTAGAAATACAGTGACCAAAGCACATAGAAAAATGTAGTTTAGCCCACTGCCTACCCACTATGATAATCAAAAATTTTGTAGAAAACACCTGAAAATTTAGTTGATTATCAAAATGTTCCTTAACTTGTATTAATTTTGTTGTGTAGAATTTGGTATATTGAAGTAATAATAACTTATGAAATTACTATATTTAATCAAATAAGTAAAGAAATACTAACTCCAACTAAAACATAGAAATTATTATTAATAAAATTTATTTTTAATCCCACAAATCTTGAGAGCTTCTTAAGGATTATGCACTGTGCTATGGGTTAGGTATGAAATTAGTAATAGATGAGATACTATATAGCCAAGGAATTTAATGTAATGTTGTAAAAATAAACAAGTGAATGAACTAGCAATATATTGATGTTATTAGTCTTATGCATATACAAAGAATAGAGCTTTAGAAAGAGAAAAACAGGAATATTACTTTAGATATATTTTCAGGAAAATAAACTGGGATCTAAAACTATGCACATAGTTGGGGAAAGTATATTCCAAGAAGGTGAAGTATTATGTGTGAGGACCTTGGTATATTCCAGGGATTAAAAAGACCAATGAATTAAGGGAAAAATGGGATGCAAAACACTTGGATCTAGATAGGAACAGATGATGCAAGGTTTGCAATTCTTAGAAGATTACTAAATTTGATTCTTAAAATAGTGAGGAAGATATTAAAACAGTTTACAAATAATCTTTTTGTTAAGAAGCTCTGGTGGCACAGTGGGTAAGACATTTGACTGCTAACCAGAAGGTCAGCAGTTCAAAACCCACTGGGGGTCACTATAAGTCGGATCAACCCCATGGCAATGGGTGTCATTTTTGTTTTAATCTTTTGGTTATTGCTAATTTTATATAAAGATTCCACTGGTTTCTGTGTGAAGATGGAATTACAAACACCAGACAAGTTAATTGTTAGACTTGCTGGTAGACTATATTAGAAATATGAGGAAAAGGAAAGAATCAAAGATAACTCTCCCATAATTTTATTTTGATCTACCAAGTGTACCATGAAACTATTAATTTAATATGGCAAGGAGTTGGACAGGAATATATTCAGAGTAAGTAAGGGTGGGGGGAACTATTAATAATTCAGCTTAGGAAATGTTGTATTTGCAATTCCAATTGATATTTAGCTATTTAGTTGAAAGTATGGTGTTTGAAATTTGCTGCTAGATAGTCATTAGGCAACTGTCAGTATAGGTGGGCATTGAAATCAATGAGATCACACAGAGAAAGACGGCTGAGCAGTTGAGATGATCAGGGCTGAACAGCAAAGAACACCAACATGCAGAGGTGTAGTAGAGGAGTAGTTAGTAATGGACTGAAAATCAACAACGAGTGAGAAGGGAATCAGATTATGTTCCCCTGTAGGCAAGAGGGGAGGGTATTCAAAGAGTGAAGCTTGGTTATCTCAAATGTTGCCTGGAACTGGGATGAGAAGACAGCAGTGTGATTGCAATTAGTCCTGTTTCGCCTGTTGTTACATAAGTGATTTTCTATATTTTTATCCAGATATGGAAAATAGTTTCTTATTTTTTTCCCCAAGAAACCATAAAAAATAATATTCTTGGGAGGAAATCAGTCTTGTAAAACACAAATTTGCATTAGGACAGCCTATTTCTACTTCCAAGCAGACAGAAAGGTTTTATTTGTATTACCTGAGAAAATGGAATCTTCTTTGTTGGATTACTAGTCAGGAATGTGGAGAGATTCCTTCAGAGTGACTTGCATAGGAGTCAGGGTTTCAATACCTTGTGGTTTCCATTGTGTGGGATATAATATCAAATAGCCTTTCACTTTTCACAGGGTAGAAATAGGAAGAAAATCTGCAATAGCCAATTTTTTGCTTTAGAGAAATTATTGTAACTATTAAATTTATTTTCTCCATGAAACCATGCACTTCTCCAACAGAAAGAAATGTTCATTCTTTTCTCAGATCCCATAGCACTTAAAAAAAAAAAAAAACCCTTGACCTCTTGTAACAGTATTCCGCACTTGAATATATCTATATGCAAATATCTATATGCAATTCATATATATATATATATATATATATATATATATGCAAAATACACTGCAAATTCTCCCAAGTGATTGTTGAAGAAAGACATACAAAAAATATGACTCTGGTCTTTTACTAATCATAGGGATTATGATTAACAAAGGATGACAGGAGATTGGCTATGAGGAGAAATAGGGTACTTTTACTAATCATAAGGAAAGCAAATATTCTTAGAGGAAAATGTCAAACTTTTACCCTTCTCTGTTTCTGCCCAGATTTTATAAAGAATATGAAAAGCATGTAAAGGCCTGGTATATTCATTAGTTGTTGTTGTTGTTGTTGTTATGTGCCGTTGAGTCGGCCCCGACTCATAGCGACCCCTCCTTGGGTTTCCGAGGCAGTATCAGTACGGAAGTAGGATTGCCCAACCTTCCTTCCGAGGAGTGGCTGGTGGGTTTGAACCTCTAGCCTTCTGGTTAGCAGTCAAGTGCTTTATCCACTATGCTACCAGAGCTCCTTATATTCATTAGGGTAGTCCTTTAGTCTTTTTAGTCATATAAGTAGTTTTATAAAATTTTGTTAACTACATGTTATCTAGGAAGATATTATAATTCATTACAAAAAAAGGTGATATTAAGAAAAAGAAAATCTGTTTACCAAAAATTCAAATTTAAATGGACATCTTGTATTAATGTATTTGGCTGCTAGCCAAAAGGTAGGAAGTTTGAACACACCAGCTGCTCTGAGGGAGAAAAATTAAGCGCACTGCCTCCATAAAGCTTTACTGCCTTGGAAATTCTCTGCAACCGTTCTACTCTGTCCTAAAGGGTCACTATGAGTGGGAATTGACTCTATAGCAGTGTTCTCCCCCTCCAGGGGGCGGCTATTCCTGGCAACCTTATCTGTGTTGTTGTTGTTGTTATGTGCCATCAAGTTGGACCCGATTCATAGAGACCTCTCCTTGGGTTTCCAAGGCAGTATTACTACAGAAGCAGATTGCCCAACCTTCCTTCTGAGAACCCTATCTGCATTCATATGAAATGTTTCTTCCTTAATACAAGCCATTTTGTGATTATTCATTGGTAAACAAAATATGTTAGATACCTGTTCTCATGGTTTCACCATCCACTGCACGTGTTTTGGAAGAAAGCAATAAGGATGTAGGGAAAAAAAAAAAATGGATACACCAAAACTGACAGTAAACAAATGAATAAGTAAACTTAAAAATTAAAATATTAAATAATTAATAATAAGTGTTACACAGAATATTAAAAAGGATACCGTGATAGAAATGACCAAATAACTTAGTATTGCAAAAGTTCTTGTAAACAATTGAAACAGACGGTTGTTCTGAATGGATGTTGCTGTTGTTATGTGCTGTTGAGTCGGACCCAACTCTTAGTGACCCCTCCTTAGGTTTCCAAGGCACTATGGAAGTAGAATGCTCAACCTTCCTTCTCAGGAGTGGCTCATGGGTTTGAACCACCAGCCTTCTGGTTAGCAGTCAAAAGCCTTAGGCACTACGCTATCAGAACTCCTTAACAAATGAGTCAGATACAGTTATATATTGTTTAAGGACTGATGAGAAAGTTGGTTGGAAAGATGAGAAATTGCACACTTTTTGAAGATTCTAATATATCTTTATATATCCAATAAAATTTTCCCAGGTATTGAACACTTAGAAAGGAATCCATCACCCCGGCTTGTGAAGACACATTTACCAATAGATCTTCTGCCTAAATCTTTTTGGGAGAATAACTGCAAGGTACATTCTGGGCTGCAAGTTAATTCTTCAGTAGTACTGTATTCTTCTACTTACTTTTGAGTAGATGTTCAAATGTTTTGTTTACATGTGACCATGAGGACTGAGCTATATGGAAATACTTCATTAATATAAAAAGGTCAAACCTACATACTCAGGTTTTCTTGAGTAGTAACAGAATCCTTATCTCAGCACAGTATTGTTACTTTCATTTCCCAATTCTCTCTAATTACTCTACATTCTCTGAAAGTCATTAGACTGGAGAATCATGGTATGAAATTTATAAAATGATATGGTGGGAAATATATGAGGAGCTCTGGTAGTGTAGTGCCTAAGGCACTTGACTGCTAACCAGAAGGCTGGTGGTTCAAACCCACCAGCCACTCCTCGGAAGGAAGGTTGGGCAATCTACTTCTGTAGTGATACTGCCTCAGAAACCCAAGGAGGGGTTGCTATGAGTTGGGTCCGACTCAAGAGCACATGACAACAACAAAACTGAGGCAACTGAGTTGACACTGAATAATGGGTTATTTCACTCGGATACTGAGTTCTTGCAATTATGACTTGGTTATTAGTAACTATGGATATAGGCTAAGAATTGGCAGTCCCCAAAGATACATTTGTTTTTAATTTTATTTTTAAACATATTATTTTGAAATAATTATAGAGCCACAGGAAGTTAAAAAAAAAAGTACAGGACTTCCTGTACACTTTTTATCCACACTTTCCCAATATTATAGTTGCACAACTACAGTACAATGTCAAGACCAGGAAAATTGACAATCCATAGTATACATGAATCAAGAGGGAGTCTTTCATTTTAACAGAGCAAGGAGACACAGCCTGGTTCATAATTGGAAAAGGTGTAAGACAGGGTTGTATCCTTTCACCTTATTTGTTCAGTTTATATGCTAAATAAATAATGAGGAGCTAGACTATATGAAGAAGGTAGCACCAAGATTGGAGGAAGACTGGTAGTTAAGGTTGTGTGTCAGCCTGTCTGGGCTGTGATTTTTAGTGGCTTGGAGCTGGAGATAGTTATTCCCCAGGATGGGATTGGATGTGGTATAATCCTCTCAATGGTAGAATCTGCTGTGAGCAGTTAATCAGTTGAAGGAGAGTTGCCTTCAGGGTGTGACCTACTTCCAGTGTATATAGAAAGCATCCTCCATTTGGTTAAGTCTTCATCTCCAATTCCCGGACTTGAACTAAGGGCCTGCCATGTGGCCTGCCACACTTGGGATTGTTGCCTGTGCAGCCTCTGAGCCAACAATCTGCCATTTTACCTGCCACCTTGGATTCATCAGGCTCAGCAGCTAGAAGCTGCAAAGTCAGGAGAAGCCTCTAGTTTGCTGCAGTGGGCCTGGAAGATAGAATTAACCAAAGCCAGAGGCCTTCACCTAGTCCCTAAAGTTGGCAGCCTGAATTTGGACTTGTAAACTGTCCTTCCCCTAGAGCTGTCACTCTGAATTCAGATTTTTAGGAGCTCTGGTGGTAGAGTACCTAAGGCATTTGACTGTTGACTAGATGGTTGGCGGTTCAAACTCACCAGCCATTCCTCAGAAGGAAGATTGGGCAAACTACTTCTGTAGTGATATTGTTTTGAAAACCTAAGGAGGGGTTGCTATGAGTCGGATCCGACTCGACAGCATTGACTTTCTGAGTAAACTGTAAGAGAATAAATTTGTTTGTCGAAGCGATCTACTGTATTATTTCTAACATAACAGCACTAGAAAAATAAGACAAAGACTCATTAACAACCTGCGATATGCAGATGACACAATCTTCTTGTTTCTCTGTTTTTTGTTTTTTTCTGGGTATTTAATTTCTTTTGTTTACTTGAACAATTTTTATAGTTCCATTTTTATTTATTTACAATGTTTTTAAGTATTTTGTTTTGTATTACTTCTTAGCAGTTGTTCAAGATATTACCATATACATACTTAACATCATAGCCTACTACTGTCAGTGTTTTACCACTTCGAGTGAAGTGTAGTAATCTTACTTTCAATGAAGTCCCTGGGTTGTGCAAATTGTTAAGTGCTCTACTACTAACTGAAAGTTTAGTGGTTTGAACACACCCAGAACTGAAAGGCATAGTAATTTGCTTCTGAAAGTCACAGCTTGAAAACCCCTGTGGAGCACAATTCTACTTTGCACACGTGAGATCATTATGAATCAAAATCAACTTGACAACAAAGGGTTTAGATTTTTGAGTCTCCATCCTCTTAAGTGATTTCTGTGTCTATATTGCATACCAAATCAAGTCATGCTGTAATATTTGCTTGAATTATAAAATATAAATTTAAGAAACTCTTAAAGTGAAAGGTAAGTCTATTAGGTGTACCTCTATTTTTATACACTGTTGTTCTTCCTTCCTCTTTGAAAGTCCCAGCCTTCTTCTGTTATCATTTTTTTTTTTTTTTTTCTGTTTGGAGAGTTATTAGCCCTTCTTTAAGGTACCCTGCTAACAACAAATATTCTTAGTGTTGTTTCATTTGAGAATGGTTTTATTTTCTTTCTTGCCTAAAGGAGATTTTCACTGGTTGACAATTTTTTTTTCTTCCTGCACTTGAAATATGTTGTGTCACTTCCTTCTGCCCTTAATGTTTTTGGAGGAGAAATTCATTCCTGTATAAACTGCTGTTCCTTTATATGAAATGTGTTATATGTTCTGGCTGTTTTAAGAGTTTTTTGTTTATCTTTAGTTTTCGGAAATTAATTATGATGTATCTTATGATTTTGGGAATTTACATTTTCTGTAGTTCTCTCAGTTTCTTGGTTATGTATGTTTATATCTTTCATTGTACTTGGGAAATTTTCAGCTATTATTTTTACAAATACTTTTTTAGTCCCACATTTCTTCTCTTCTTCTGGATAGGAATATAGTCTCCTTTATTATTGTCCCACAGTTCCCTGAGTTTCTGTTTATTTTCTTTAAGTCTATTTTATTTGATGTTCAAATAGGATACCATCGATATATCGATGATCACATTCACTTATTTTATCCTCTGTCTTCACTGTCTCTGTCTTCACTGTTTGTATTATTGACTCTGTCTAAAAAAATAAACAAATTCACTGCCACGAGTCAATTCAATTCATAACGATCCTTCCTTGGATTTCCGAGGTCATAACTCTACGGAAATAGATTGCCCAATCTTCCTTCCAAGGAGTAGCTGGTGGGTTTGAACTGCCAGCCTTCTGGTTAGTAGTCAAATGCCTTAGACACTACACTAACTCTGTCTAGTGAGGTTATTATTGTTATTATTATTGTTATCATTTTAGTTCTGTGTTTTAGTTCTGTAATTAACACTCGGTACTTTTTTAACTTTAATATTTTTTCTCAGATTAGTTTATAATTTTTATTTCTTTTAATAGAATGTATAATTAATTGTTCAATCTTTTGGTTTTATAATGGCTGCTTTTAAATCTTTTTCAGATCAACATCTGATTCATCTCACTACTGCATCTATTGATTATCTTTTCACATTCAAATAGTGGTCTGTAGCCAGTTTATCTTCTATCTGTGTACAAGCATCTGTTTATTATTGTCTCTTGAATAATTTCCAGAGTTGTTCTTCGAGAGGGAAAAACAAGAAAGACTGAGTCTATACCATCTTGTTCCAGAACTGGAAGTTCCCCAAACCTTTTTTGAATATCTTTAATATTTTTCCATTCTCTTCCTTTTTTTCTGTTTTTCTTTTATTTCGACATCTCACACTTTCCCAAGGATTTAGTTAATAAAAGTGAAATTTAATTTTATTATTATTATTATTATTTTCAAGTTGCCTGATAGTCTCTTTAGCTATAGTGTCATCTTCTACATAATAAGAAGTGTTATATGACCCTATGGATTTCTGCTAATATCTGATCAATTTTTGGTTCAAAAGGAAGCCGGAAACTTGACATTTTTTGGACTCTCCAGACCTCTATAATTCTAAATTCATGATATTGCCCTAATGAAAATGGCTTAAAATGAATAGGTTTTTGAGATGTTGATGGAGAGTTCTTCACAGCCCACAATTTCCAGTTGAAAAAGTGCTTTATTATTTTACTTACCTATGAGCTCTTTTTTTTTTCTTTTCCTCTCAGTAAAATATCTTTCATTTGGTTTTCTTTTTCTTGCTCCCTGCAGATGATTTATATGGCTCGAAATGCAAAGGATGTTGCTGTCTCATATTACCATTTTAACTTAATGAATAATATTACCCCTCTTCCTGGCACCTGGGAAGAATATTTGGAGAAATTTATGATTGGTGAAGGTAAGTAGGCCCTGACTTGAAGCTGATAAGTTATTTTTTATTTTTAATAATACAGTCAACCCTTATCGATATGATTTTTCTCTCCAAAACACTTATTTTTGCAAGGCAATGCCAAATATGTTTTAAAAAACCTCTTAAAATATTAAACCAAATATGTCTAATATTCTATTAGCTCCAACCTCACTGCCATCAAGTTGGATCCAACTCATACAGATCTGTCCTTGGGTTTCTGAGGCGGAATCACTATGGAAGTAGATTGCCCAATCTTCCTTACAAGGAATGTCTGGTTAACAAGTAATTTGAGAAATTATCTACTTACTAATACTGCCCATTATTTTAAATATTCTGGTTAGCAGTCAAATGCCTTAGACACTATGCCACCAGAGCTCCTAGGATGTTCAATTCAACAATCAGATTTCAATCATTTGAATAATAAAGATATTCTGAAGTCCTTTTCATTTGCTAAAAGTTTATCCTCAGTTTCTGCTCACAATAGATAATGTTTAACTTACATAAACTTGATATCAAGTTAGATTAGAAAGTGGCCATTAGTTGTTTAAGTGTTATAAGTGTGTTATATTTATAATAATTAGATAATTACCCATTGTGACTATTTTGTAAAAGAATAGTGCCCTTCTGTGTGAAGCTAAGTGTCACCAATTGGAAGTTTATGTATTTTTTTTTCTGAAATACTTCGTTTACCCTTTAATTTTTTAAAAAAATCTGATGGCTTGTACTTCAAAAAAAAAATCACTATCAGAACAATTACTCCTATGTTCTCAGTTCTCTTGGTTAGTAAATTCCACAAAATATCCATAAAATTTAACTTATTTTTTAGAAATAAATTTTTATTTTAATGAGTGCTATGGAACCAGACTGTTTCTCTGGTTTTAGTGGCCTACGGTTTCTGGTTTTAGTGGCCTACGGTTCCTGGTTTAATCATGTTAAGAGCTGGTGGAAGAAAAGGAAAGAATACCCAATACTTTACTTACACTATGAAGATATGAAAGAGGTAAAATGATAGAAGATATTCTATATAATTTCTAAACTATATGCTATGATAAAATGATTAAAATTTATGTTTAAATTCTGTCTTAGGGTATTCAAAATGACATGAATGGTTTGTCCAGCCTCTGTGACTTCTTATTCATATCTTGTAATGTCATTAATAACTTCATAATTGTGAAATCAAAGACTTATTTTTATTTGTCTTCCCACTTCTCCACTATGAGTCAGGTCCGACTGCATGGCACATAACAACAGCAACAGCAGCACTTTCAATATTCTTCACCAACACCACAACTCAAAAGCATCAACTCTTCTTCAGTCTTACTTATTCATTGTCCAGCTCTCACATGCACATGAGGCGAAAGAAAATAGCATGGCTTGAGTTAGGAGCACCTTAGTCTTTTTATTTTTAAAAAAGCCTGTTTTACACTCAACATTACATGTACATTTAGTTTCACTCCCCATTTACCATGTCCAAACCTAACCCAGTCTCCTCCCCTCCATACCCTGTAACCCTCCCCCTGTGCCCCTCATATTTCTGTACTCCTGTTTGTCCTGCATTTCTTCAACCTGAATGTTGGTCCTCTGCTGGCCCATGGTCCATTGCTCTAAGGGATGTATTACCATAGAGTATGTGGGTGTGTCATCCTGGGTTGAGTGGTCTGCAAGTACATCCTGTTAAAACTACTGGGCTGAAAGCCAGCCCTTAGGGGAGAGTTTTAATCCAGGTGCAGAATGTATTCCAGGGCCATAGTATTGGGGTTCTCATCAGACTTCCTCTACTAGTAATTCTGGTCATTATTGAGTTTTTGGATTTTGTTCTACATTTTTCTTCCCACTGTATCCAGGATCTCCAGATTTGATCCTTTCCTGAGTGGTTGGCAATGGTAGCAGGCACTATCTAGTTCTTCTGGTCTTGAGGGCCATCGTGTCCTATGGCTGACTGCTTCCAAAGGCCTTTTTTTTTTTTTTTTTTTTGCATTCTTCTTCACTTCTGATTCTAGGAGACCATTAGCTACATCTTAGATAGCTGTTTGAAAGCTTTTAAGACCCTAGTCACTACTCATCGATGGAGGATGCAGAACAAGGCTTTTATGTACTTTGTTGTGCCAATTGAGTCTGGTGTCCCCCAGCACTATGGTCCTGAGCTGGTAGATCTATTGGCTCTCTCTCCCATAGTGTCTGGCCATCTGTGATGGATTACTCTGTGTCTGTCTTTTATTGTTTCTGTAATGATTACAGATATTCTGTATCACTGGGGCCTGTACAAGATTAGCCTCAGCTGAATCTATCCTTGATCTAGAGTATACTCCTGTTCACAGACCCCCATCTGATCTCCTCAGGTGTTTATGTGTTTATCTGTAGCCTGGTGTTTGGTGTTAATGGTAATGCAATATTGTGGACACAATAGTTGGTATTAGCATCTGTCATCTATCTCTTATGTGCACAATTTGATGTCCTCCCATTTCCTAATGTTATTATGGTGGTCACAGTTCATTTCTGTGTATCCCTTCCCTTACCCACATCAGATTTGGATTCCAGGGACCGAAGAACAGGCAGCAAGGCAGGAAGACAAGAAGAGGACAGAAAAGGCAAAGGGAACCACAACAAATCAAGGAGTCAACCGCAGGGAGCCAGGCGAGGAGAGAGAAACCAGGCCACCCCCACAAGCAGTGAGGCAGGAAGCAGGGAGTGGACAGAATAGGCAAAGGGGACCAGAACAGATTGAGGAGTCAGACCCAGGGACCCAGGTGAGAAGAGGGAACCCAGGCTGCACACCACAAGCAACGAGGTGGGAAGGCAGGGAGAGGACAGAAAAGGCAAAGGGGATAGGAACAGATCAATGTGTTAGCCACAGGGATCCAGGTAAGGGTGGTTGGAGGGGTTTCCAACAGCTAAGGGAGATAAACTTGTCTGTCTGTCGATTTGTCCTACTGCGTTGACATGTTGCTATGTCTTGAGGCTGTGCCACTGGTGTTTCAAACCCAGTGGGGTGCACCTGTTGCACAGGTATCAGCCTGGCTTACAGACTGAGACACACTAGAAAGAAGGAGGAGGCCATCCACTTCTCAAAGAATTGGCCAGGGAAAACCTCATGAATAGCAGAGAAACACTGTCTGATACATTACTGTGCAACTTTATGAATAG